GATTTTTTTTCAAAGCCCAGCCTTTATAAAGTTTAAATGTTATTGAACTAAAATTAAAACAAATTTCATTTGCAGAGTGAATCAAGCATTATTAGTTCATCAATTAACATCTGATCTATTATCAGAAAAAATATAAAACATACTCTGCATATAAATATGTAAGGTTGTAAGTAAATAAGTTTATACAGACTGGAATTTGCAATCGCGTTTACTACATTGACAATCACTTCGTCGACAATCACTTGGTTGAAAATTCATTTTGTCGACAGTTCACTTCGTCGACAATCACTTCGTTGACAGTTCACTTCGTCGACAGTTCATTTCCTCGACAATCCCTTCGTCGACAGTTCATTTCGTCAACAGTTCATTTCGTCGACAATTATTTCATCGACAAACACTTCACTGACAGTTAGTTTAGATGTAATGATAGTGGTATTGTCGCTGGCTATTTTGGTGATTATAATAATCGATGATAATTATTCTTTTTAATATTGTGAATCAGACAAGTTGAAAATACGCTAATGAATAGTATTGAGATTTCGTTTGAAAATTCAGGAAATATTTATTTTTCTGATGATATTCTTTTCAAGATGCATGAATTTTATCCAATTTTTCTTTTCATCTAAATTTCCTGATGCTTCTGAAATCATGATTCCTAGATTCAATCAGGATTAACAACATTAATAATTATAACCAATGCATATATTACGCTAAAACCATATGAACTGTTGACGAAATGAACTGTCAACAAAATGCGTGTTGATGAAATGAATCAGACCTCAGGAAAAGGCTTTTTTGATGAGGTTGGTAGTTGTTAATTAAAACCATGTTGTATTATACAATACTAATTGGTTTTATATTAATCTCAGGCAATGAATTATTGTAAAATTAGATCAGGGATGATTGTCAATTGCTTTGGTATAATTAAATTCCTTGATAATGGAAATTATGCAATATTTTTTAACTTATGTTCCAGAAGGAAATTTAAGGATTATTTGCAAAAATATATTAAATTTAGGCTATTCAAATTTAATTATTTGTTTGACATTCTTTTTTTGAAAATTAAGAGGGAGGAGAAGGGGAGAAATTTAAACAAACAAAATAAAACCAATGAAAAGCCTGGAGTGATCGGCAGAAAAAGTGTTTCTCAATACTTTGTTACACATGAAAATCACGTGTTTTATAATTGTTTGAAAATCTGGGGGGATGTTAAACAAATAATTAAATTTGAACGGCCCTAGCATTAAAAGATAGAATTACAATTTTCAGATATTTATGTGATGCATTAAATGATATATATGAAAAGAGAAAAACATTTAATGGTATATTTTACCTGACCGATTGGTAAATTTATAGTTATTGCATTGAATCTTTTTTCTAACCAGCTTACTGCTGGAATTGATCCGCCTTCTCTTATATATAATGGTTTTATGCCCCATTCCTATATGTTGAAAATTCGTTACAGATTATAAATTATAATAATTACTAATTATTAATTATCAATAGATTGTAGTTTCAAAATATTATTTATTTATTACTTGTTCAATTGCTTCTTCAGCTGCTTTAAAATACTTATTTTCAGGATCACCTAACCACCAATCTGCCATATTATTTATAGTAATCTATTATTATGATATTAATTGAAATTAAAATAGATTTATTATATTAATTATAAATCTAATCATTATAGAATCCCTTACCTTTAAACAATTA